GGGGGGGAAAGAACCGCTGCCCCGGGGGCTGAGGGCCCCTGGGTCCTGGGTCCTGCCCTCTTTGGGCAACAGGCGTTGTCAGAGCTGAGTGAGGCCGAAGTCTGGGCGGGTGACACTTCCAGTTGTGGGGAAGGGTAGGGAAGTGTCTCGGTGTGGTCTCTGCGAGCAGCACTGGGAACATCACCCCGCAGGGGAAGGCTGAGGTCAAGTGCCAGGAAGGACAGGCGCGGAGCTGTCCCTGTGCTGCGGCTGCCATCCTCTGACGGGGGCACTTGGAAACAAACAAGGAGGGTTTCCCCCCCTCAGCTGGGGCTGCCCCCAAAACGCACAGACCCCACACCTCCTCCAGGCTCCCCGGGTCCTTGCCTCCAGCCACCAGGGGTGGGCAGATTCTTCCCGTCCCTTGAAGCAGCAGCTCACACACAGTTTTTCAGGCTCCCCTGGGAGCAGCTGAGTTCTGCCCGGGGCCACAGGCAGCCACACTCAGCCTCTGAGCATTTTATTTCCCTTCTCCTCCTGCTCTGAACTGACCCCCAGACAATCGCTTCTGTTAATTGCTTCAGAAACCAGCAGTCTGGGGAGATGATGAGGTTAGAGGCTCCCCAGGCCTGTAGGCATTGGCATGTGGGTGATTTCAGCCCTGTGAGTGTTCCCAGCAGAGTGAGGCAGCTCGTGTAGGAAACCCTGTGTGTGTGCAGAGATACCAGCCCTGGGAGAGAGGGACCTCCTTGATTCTGGTTATTTGCACTTCCATTTCTTATTGTAATGACCGTGCAGAGAGTGGGGGAAGATCATTCTGACACGACTCCATGTTTCTCTGTGGTTTGGGCTGGGATGTCACGTTGTGGTTGGCTAATCCTGCTGTTCTGTCCTGGGAAGCAAGGAATGATGAAGCCTGACCTTGGTTGTGCTCGGGAGAACCCTCTTCCTCTCTGCTACCTTTTATCTGTCTTCTCTTGTTTCCTTCTAAAGGGGAAGGGGGCAAAAAGTTTTGAGACCTTCTTACAACATCAGAAGGAAGAAGGAAGACAACAAGATACCAGCCCCATTTCTTCCCCTTTGCGAGTTACTCTTAAGGTTAAAGGTAAGATGTGGGATTTTCTGTTTCACTGTGTTGCAAGCCCTGCTCTCAACATGGTGTTGATGTGGAACTGTGCTCTCCAGTTCCTTGACTTTCCTGGGGGTCATTGCTTTCTTCTAAAGGCGGGGGAAGGGGAGAAGAAGCCTGAAGACTGTTAAGCTGCTGTTAAGCTGCACCTGGTGAAGTTTTGTGCACCCCTGGTCTTGCCCACCCCGGAGACCTGCAGCCATTTAGTGACCTCCTTGCACAGCTTCAGGAGATTGACAGGCTGTCCTGCAGCTTCAGGTTTAGTAACACGTTTTGCCAAGTTTGCACAAACCCTGCTTGGCTGCAGGAACGTGCACTGCCCTGCAGCCTTCAGGCATTTTTAAGAAAGCAGGTCCTGCAGCAGCACACGTGCTGCCCTGTGTGCTTGGATTCTGGGATTTCTGGGAGAAGGGGCTATGAGCCTTGGTATTCCCAGCCTGCCTGGAATTGTTTTGCTCTCTGCAGCACTCTGCTTAATCAACACTTCAGATTCCATCCAGCTTGGAAGCTGTTCATGCCACAAGTGCTCTTTAATAAACTGATTTACTTTTTTCTTTTCTTTTTTCTTTCTTTTTGGGTGAGTTTACATCTAATTTTGGCTCGTTCCAAATTTTTACCATATATGGTCAGGGCCCCCTTTTCAAACTTTGCCAAAAATGAAATGTGGTGATTATAGAGAAATGAAGGATGGAAGGGAAACCAGGAGAGCTCACTGGTTAATCCCCATTGTTCCCAAGCTGCCTCTCCCTGTCTGCTGCATCTCTAAGCACACACACACACCCACACCCCAGCTGCTTCTGCCAAGGAGTCACTTGTGCCCAGCGGGTGACCTGACGTGCTGCTGCTGCTGCTCCTGGTGGATTCTGCTCTTTTCCTTTCACCATCCTGCTATATATATTTTTTGCCACGTGTGAAAAACACCACGTGTGATGGGGGAAAGAACCGCTGCCCCGGGGGCTGAGGGCCCCTGGGTCCTGGGTCCTGCCCTCTTTGGGCAACAGGCGTTGTCAGAGCTGAGTGAGGCCGAAGTCTGGGCGGGTGACACTTCCAGTTGTGGGGAAGGGTA